TTGCCTAAACTATACGATTTATTCGAGATTTTTCGTAAAAATCGTACAAAACGCGTTTTTAATAAACCCCCGAGTAAATCGTAGAAAACGGCAACGATTAATCAAAACATAGAACATTGCTTAGCTTTCGATTAACTCGAGAAACTTATCTAAAAACGGAATCGTATCAGGAAATGATCTCATCTAAAGTCGTAAAACGGATTTATCGTAAAACGGATTTATCGCAAAACGGCTCGGAAAGTCATAAAACGCGATAAAAGCCACTCGCGACTTTAAACGAAGTTCAACCCGAAGATACGACGACGTTTTGGAGATTTACTCGCATAAAGAAGATAAATGTCAAACTTGAAGATAAATGTCAAGTTTGAGGATAAATAGAAGATTTCCGCGGGAAAAAAAAGGAAAGATCGAGATAAATGGAAGATTGCCATTAAACTCGAATCTGGGCGAAATGGAATGACTAAACCGCCTAGGAAGGGAGTATATATGCATGAGGCATAGGGCAGAAGCAAAGGGACGAATTTCAGAGCTCTCATCTGAGACTTTTTCAACTTTTCTAGACTTAGAATTTTCCGCACTTAGAAACTTAGGCTTTTTCTCGACAAGTTCGGTTTCTATGACTGGCGCTCAATTACTAGACGAACTCGCCCAGGCAGTTCGATCTCTGGTCCAGCTCTATCAACTGAACTACGTTCGACTTGATCCCCGAAAGTGGTACGTAGGCAGCCTTTCATAAGGTTCAGTCCGAAATCAATCAAACCTTTTTTCCTATATTTTTCCGTCTTTAGTTATCGAGCTGCGACTCGACTAGATCTAGGGTTTTATGTTTGTAACTCGCTGATGGCCCCTGCGGCCAAAGCCTTTGTAATTCCTTGTAATGATCGCAACGCTCTTACGCGAATCGGAAATAAGATCGACTTTCTTTATAAATTCGTTTTATTGCGTTTTTCATATTTTTCCGCATTTATTTGGTTACTTATCGTTGGCTTTCGAAGAGATCCGGTTCCTCTGGGAAATTAGGGTTTTCCTAAGTTTCCTTATTTAACGGAAATCGACAAGTGTGAATTTCTGTTCCCACAATGGTTGCTTATGGGAGATCTTAATCAAATTCGTGATCCTTCTGAGCATTCTCTTCCATCGTCTCTGAACATGGATAATCAAATAAGGGAACTGAATCGATGCCTTCTGGAGGCTAGTTTGGAGGATCTCAACTTCAGGGGAACCACCTTCACTTGGTGGAACAAGCGTAAATCTGCTCCACTGGCAAAGAAGCTTGACATATATATGGTTAATGATGAGTGGTATAATGTCTTTCCCTCGTCAGTGGCATTCTTTGGGAGTCCAGACTTCTCTGACCATGCCGTTATCTCTATCATTTTGGAACCTGACAGAATAAGATCTCGAAAACCATATCAATTCTATAATTATCTTCTTAAAAATCCTGAGTTCCTAGATACGGTTTATGCTAGCTGGTTTACTTTCAACGTTACAGGTTCGGCCATGTACAAAGTATCCAGAAAGCTCAAGCTGCTAAAGAATGTCATAAGAGAATTTAGCAAGCAGAATTACTCAGAGATTGAGAAGAAAACTGCCCTAGCTCGTGAAAACTTGCTCCGAGCTCAAGCTATGATGCTAAATAACCCTTCCACTAGCAACGCCACATCTGAGCTTAAAGCTTTGGAAGAATGGGAGGAACTATCGACTGCTGAGGCTTCATTCTATTACCAGAGATCCAGAATAAATTGGCTTTCCTTTGGTGATGGCAACACCACTCTCTTCCATCGCTATGCTGCTTCTCGCCAGGCCTTAAACCACATCCACTTCCTCACCTCTGAATCGGGAGAGAGAGTTGAAACTCAAGCTGGCATTCAAAAACTATGTATTGACTACTTCTCTGACTTGCTGGGTAGTACTGTGTCTCCTCCAATGTTTGTTCAGAGCGACTTGGATATACTATTCAACTTCAAATGCTCACCGTATCAGGTCTTGGGTTTTGACAAGGCTTTCAATGCTAATGATGTCAAGGATGCTTTCTTCTCCTTGCCAAAAAAATAAAACTGAAGGACCTGATGGATACTCAGATGAGTTCTTCACTGCTACTTGGCCAATCATTGGGCCAGAGATTACTGAAGCGATTCTGGAATTCTTTCACTCAGGAAAACTACTCAAGCAATGGAATTCAGAAAATTTGGTTTTCATACTGAAGAAGGCTAATGCATCTCTCACGACGGACTTCAAACCAATATCATGCTTAAACACGGTCTACAAAGCTCCTGGCTTCACATTTAAAGGAAATCCTACCCCTAATGATCTTGAAATCCTAATCGGCATTCCTTCCTGGTAGACTGTTAGCTGAAAATGTCCTGCTTGCAACATACCTAGTGAATGGCTATAACTCGAAAACGCTAACACCCCTAGAGATATGTTAAAAGTTGACCCGAGGAAAGATTTTGACTGGCTTCGTTCGGACTTCATCTTAGCTTTGCTTAAGGCTCTAGATATCCCCGACAGATACATCAGTCTCATAAAAGAATGCATGTCAACGGCCTCATTCTCTGTATCAGTGAACGGAGTCTCTGGTGTGTTCTTTCAAAGTACCAAAGGGATTTGTCAGGGAGATCCTTTATCGCCGTATTTGTTCGTCTTGGCCATGGAATGCCTTTCTAGGTTGCTCAATTCCAGATATGAAGCTGGGGACATTCGCTACCACCTGAGAACGGAGGAGCTGAAGATCTCTCATCTTATGTTCGTAGACGATGTTATGGTCTTTTTTGACAGATCAAGTAACAGCCTGCACGGTATCTCGGAATGTCTTGATGATTTTGCTTCTTTGTCCGGTCTCCACATGAACACCACCAAAACTGAGTTGTTTACCTCGGGTTTGGACCAAATTGAAACCATTGCCATCACTAACTATGGTTTCACTTCTGGTCAGTTCCCAATCAGGTATCTAAGCCTTCCGCTCATGAGCAGGAAGCTAAAAATCTGAGAGTACTACCCATTGATGACAAAGCTCAACAGTAGGTTTCAGTCATGGTCAGCAAAGCTCTTGTCACTCGAAGGTAGACTACAGCTTCTCAAGACGGTCATCTTCAGAACTGTCAACTTCTGGTTGTCTGCATTCATACTGCCCAAAGGTTGCATCAAACAAATCGAATCTCTCTGCTCGAGGTTCTTGTGGTCTGGTAGTACTGAAAAGAGACCCATAACGAAGATAGTTTGGAATACAGTCTGCTTACCAAAGGAGAAAGGAGGTCTTGGACTTCGAAGCTTCATGGTTTGGAACCAAGTGCTTTGCCTTAAATTTATTTGGATTCTTTTGTCCAAATCCCCTTCCCTTTGGGCTGATTGGCATTGGAGCACTCATCTTCATGAGTATTCTTTCTGGACCATCACTGCATCTGCCTCAGACTCCTGGACCTTGAGGAAACTTCTCGACCTACTCCCATTAGCTTTGCAGTTTGTCAGAACCAGACTGGATAATGGAATGAACACAAGCTTCTAGTACGACGTGTGGACTCCTATGGGTCAGCTTATAACACATATTGGTCCCTCCGGCCCTCGTGCACTGCGTATCAGAAAGGATGCTGTTGTGGCAGACACAATTAGAGGCTCATCTTGGTCTCTGCCGCACCCTCGTCCGCAAAAGGAAGTAGAGCTCCATGCATACCTTACAACTCTTTCACCCCCACTTGATCTTGATGTTTTAGATGAATATGAATGGGTTGCTGGTGATAATTCTCTATTTGTTTTCAGGTCCTCATCAACCTGGGAAGTGCTCAGACCCAAGGAGCAAGTTCGAGATTAGTTTGATGTGGTATGTTCAAAGGTGCAATAGCAAAGCTAAGCTTCATGATGTGGATAGCAAACTATGATATTTTGCCCACAAGAGATAGATTTGCAGCTTGGGGAATGGCCATCTCACCTTCCTGCCCCTTCTGTTCTGTGCATGATGAAACCAGAGATTTCCTCTTATCATGCGGTTACAGTCAAGATGTATGGAGGGAAGTTTTCTGCGATGCCAGTATCCTAAAGCAGTGATCACCTCATGGTCTGAACTGCTATCTTGGATCAGAAATGCTCCGTCCTCCATGTGCACCCTCCTCAAGAAATTAGCAATTTAGACAGTGATTTATCATCTCTGGAAGCAGCGGATAAACAGAGTCCATAACAAGACTTCAATACCAGCAGCAACGGTGTTCAGCGAGATTGATAAAGAGATGAAGAACATTATTTCTTTAAGAAGATTTCGGAAAAAATTCTCTTCTCTTATGACCATGTAGATCAGATAGGAAGTTAGTGTTTAGTAAACTGCATGGTCTATCTTTTTTTTGCTTCTTTTTGCCAAGATGACTCAAACATTAAGATATTACCTTGTAAAATTTTGTTTTCATTATATGATATTTACAGTTTAGAAAAAAAATCATGGTTTAACTGATTTATCTCAAGAGGGGTACTGAATAAAATAAAGGGAATTATGCTAATATAGAACAAAAAAACATGCCTCATGTCCCCTTAGTATAAACCTGCATTAATATGTCCGAATAGTATAATTCTTTCGATAATCCCAAAACTAACCCTAGATTAATTTAATTAAACTTAACTTATATTAATGAAAATAAATAAATCAATTAAAAATAAAAATAAGAAAAATTAAAAACAAGGGAAAGGGAACAAAAACCCTTTATGTTTCCCGTAACCCTAATTTTGCGATTTCTCCTTTTGCCTCTCTCTTTCTCTCTCTCTTGACAAGAACACAAGGAGATGGGAAGGAGATTGTCTCAAGGAAGGGTTCATGGGGTGGTTTGAACAGTGTTGTGAGAAGGAAACAAGTTGATTCTCCTCATATTAAAAACACGATGGAGATCATCGTCATCAGCTTGCCAAGAAACTAACAGCCGTTGACTTTGTTGCTATTGGTATGAGATAGAGATCCAAACGTTTGATTGTGCTTTTGTATATTAAATTGATCATTTACTTCCTTTGTTGACTTTTTGAAGGAGTTGGAACAACAATTGGAGCAGGAGTGTATATTCTTGTGGGGATAGTAGCTAGACAACACACATGACGTGCTCTTGTTGTATCCTTCTTCATCGCTGGTGTAGCAGCTGCTCTCTCCGCTTGTTGCTATGTTGAGCTTGCTTCTCGATGTCCATCTGCTGGGAGTGCTTATCATTATGCTTATATTTGTCTTGGTGAAGGGTATGGACTAGATAGGATTCTAATGCCAGAAAACTTTACTGAAACATACCTGAGATTCTAGATATTCTTATTGCATAGGATTGCTTGGTTGGTTGGTTGGGAACTAGTGTTGGATTATAAGATTGGTGGATTAGCCATTGCACGTGGCATATCTCCAAATCTGGTAATTCTCTTTGAGTTATACGTATACTCGCATTCGATTCTGACGAGTGTTCTTGTTCTAGGCATCTTTTTTTGGAGGGTCAGACAAACTTCATGTGTTCTTAGCTCGACAAACCATACCCGGACTTGGTATTGTGGTTGATCCATGTGCAGCACTGCTGGTTATTATTTTTACAATACTACTATGCTTTGGGATAATGGAGGTACTTACATTTCAAATATTCATTTCAGGATTGTTAGATCGTTTTTACAGAGTATTGAGGGCAGTTTATTTATTTTTTTGTCTTGACAGAGCTCATTAGTACAAGCAATTGTAGCATCAGTAAATGTTTGCACATTGATGTTCATCATAGTAGTTGGTGGATATTTAGCTTTCAAGACTGGCTGGGCTGGATATGATCTTCCTGATGGGTAAATTAATCTATGATTTTCTTCTTCTATTGTGGCTAAGTTATGTGTCACATAATAATTTTAAAGGTCAATGTCTTTACAAGTATTTTCCTTTTGAATTAAATGGGATTCTCGTTGGATCTGCTGTAGTGTTCTTCCCATAAATTTGATTTGATACTGTAACAAGCACAGCTGAGGAGGTATATACATTTGTTTTTTCTCCTCTAATGACTCTCTTTTAAGAATCTGTATTGAAATAAATAGTTACAGAAGAGGATGTTTAGTCCTAGTATTGTGATCTCTTTATTTCATAATTCTGCCAATTTTCTCTGTTAAGCTCTTAAACTTTTGGTAATTTCCACAACAGGTTAAAAATCCTCAAAGGGATTTTCCGTTGGGGATTGAGATTGCATTACTGATATGCTGCATTTATATATGCTTTTATCTGTAGTTATTGTTGGATTGGTCCCTTACTATACTTTGGATCCTGATACTCCTATCTCCTCTACATTTGGAGACAGTGGGATGCAATGGGCAGTGTAAGTATGATACTTCTTTTTGAGCTGAAACAGCTCTATTTCATGAGAGTGAACATAATATAAATACTACTTTCATATATGTTTCAGGTACATCTTAACTACTGGGGTAATAACTGCTATGTGTGCAAGTTTGTTGGGTTCGCTTCTGGCTCAGGTACTAACCAATTCTTATTGTTTTGAAAAGCTCAACTTCAATTCTTTTTTGTTACTGATATTTCTAGCTATATGCTAGTCTACGCGTGGGTCATGGTTTTTGACACTGTTTTGGGTTTTTCTTTATCAGCCATGAATCTTCATGGCAATGGCTAAGGATGGACTTTTGCCAGGTATCTTTGCAGATGAAATCAGTCTACTGTTTCTTTGTGTTATGTTCTTACGATCTCCTAACATGCTTTTTTTGGTTTTTAGAGTTTTGTTCTTACAATGAATATGTCGATTTTCTGGTTCTTTCTGTTCTGCTCTTAATATTTACGAAACTGAAAACATCATATTGTAAAGAAAATCGAAAACATGATTGTAATGTATCAGAGTGACACTGAAAACAAATTTTCAAAGATTTTAGAACCAAAAATCCTATGAAACTGATAGCAATGCATAACAGAGAAGCTGAAAACAGACTTTTAATTAGAGTTGATGGATATTGTCCAACAAAGGAATCACTGGATATTCTTTTGGTGAATGCAAAGTAGAGTTGATGGATTCAGCAGGGTTGATTGTCCTTATGTCATATTTGTATCCAAGATATTTACATCAAATCCTTTTTTCATCAGGCGAAAACACCCATCCCGTTGTAGCACTTAATTCCCATACACCACAGGTGGTATAGATATGCATCATACAAGAAAATATGTGAAAATCAAAAGAAAAACAATGGAGACTAGGTTGGATGAAGAAGCTAGGCTTTTGGATTTGACACAAAAAGGATTTTTTCACGTAAGAAATCGGTTCCCATGTTTAAGGAAATTGCAATTATTAACAAATATTTTTAGAATATTTTTAATTTCCAAAATTTTCGAGTTTTGTTTTATCTTATCCGTAGAAGGTACCTTCTACAGATAGTAGAAATACTAATGTGTCACTATAAGCAAATTCTACTATTAGTAGATGTTTGAGTTATGTGTAGATTACGTATTCTGAGATTTGTAGAAGTGGTTTAAAACATAGAACCCACATTCAGTTTTTTTTTGTAGAATTCTATATAAACGTAGAATATAAATTCTAGAAGATGTAGAGTTCTATATAAACGTATAATATAGGTTCTAAAAATGTAGAGTTTACTATTTAATGTAGAATATGAATTCTACTATCGATATTTTGTAGAATATAAATTCTACTTTCCTTCGAATCGTAATTAAAAGTTTTTAATATATCAAGTTTTTAAAAATAAAAAAATATCAGTTTGTGTATATAGGCATTTCATCACTTCTTTGTATTTTAAATATTTTTCGAGTCATATAACTATTTATTTCATTAATTTTTATAAATGTAAAGGGTAAAAGAGAGAAAAAATGGACAAAAAATATTTTATACTAAAAGGACATGAAGTCTGTTTTTCTGTTCTATATTAGCATAATTCCCTAAAATAAATAGTATTTGTAGAACTAAAAACTAAATGGAATGAATATTGAGAATATTAGTGAAATCGTAAATCCTACTCAGCATATTCATCCGTATTCATGTATGTTAAGAAATAGAAAATTTAACAAAATATCTTTTATTCAAAAAATAGAATATGTGACATTGATTTATTTTTTCATTATATCATAGTAAATTTTTGATGAGATCATATAAAAAAATGCACTTAAATAAACTTATCCTACAAAAATGCATTCCACTTGCCGCCAATGTTATTTTGCGAGAAATTTCTAACCTCTCCAATTCTTGAGGAGGGAAGCGCTTAGATCTGTCAATGTCAACCTAGTCGTGAAATCTGCACACTCAACATACTTCTCATATTTTGGATATTTATTTTTTTAAGAGTTTTGTCTATGTTTTATTCATCAGATGAATTTTACCTTTTGGATATTTTGTAAAAATTGCTCAACCATTTATATGAATTTAGCAGTAGTTTGAAAGTACTTATAGTTGTAAAGCTAATTATTATAAAAGAACTTTATTTGATGTTCCTGTAGAAAATCCAATCGATATTTTATTATCGCAGAGTTTTACATGCTCTACATGTTTCTTAATTAAAGAACCACAAATCACATGCCTTACCTTTGTGACAAAAAATAAAGAAATATGAACTCAGATCTAAAACGTATTATTGTGGCATACTATACAATAACAAAAAAATATTAAGGGAGATTTAACCTGCTGATTTATTTTGTGTAAAACCATTATAAACTAAACTATTTAAAGTCCCACGTCAACGTGACCTGGCAATTGAATAAGGGCAACGTATAATATAAAGAAGATTTAACCTGCATGCTGAATTGTTGATAAAACTTCTATAAACTTAAACTATTTTAAATTTATGTACCTGGCCCATGCCACAATTCCTTAGGTCCGCCTTACTATGATATTATGCAACTTTTTAAATTTGGCTATTTTCATCTATCTGGGTGTTAAAAATTATAAAAATCAGTCTTTATTCTAGGACGAATTCGTCAACATGCGGTATAGAATATATAGATCAACTTCATCATTTGCTTATAAAAGAACACAAACTAGAGTTCTCGAATAAGCAAACCATTTTTGGAGAAAAGTCTCTCATCAATGGCCCATATCTCTGATGTTACTGCTCAGACACAAACCGTCATCTTAGACATCAAAGATGATGATTCTCCCCGCCCTCGTGTATTCATATCCTTCGTTCAAAAGGTAATGATATGCTTTCTTGATTTTATCGAGACAATGATATGCATGTCCAGTTTTGACAGTATGATAATAAACAGAAGTAACATCTATATACTTGTCGGGTTGAGTTTTTGATTATATTACGTAGTTTAAAAGAGTTTAATACTTTGGTTAACTATTCTTGTTCGTAGCTACTGTCTTAGATTATTGAAAACGAGCAGATCAATACCAGTGACTCAAATTCGTATTTAGTTATTATATGTATGATTGGTGAAATTGAGTTTTCTAATAAACTTAAAATTTGGTTTTATTGTTATATAATTAAAATCGTATTGTTGTACACTCTAGTTGTTTGGAGAGTTTGTGGGGACATTCTCTCTGGTATTTGCCGGCTGCTCGGCAATCGTGGTAAATGATACGTACGGTAAACCGGTGACACTTCCTGGCATAGCTTTGGTATGGGGTCTAACCGTAATGGTTATGACCTACTCAATAGGTCATATCTCCGGTGCACATTTCAACCCTGCTATTACCATTGCGCTTGCTTCTTCTAGAAGATTTCCATTAAAACAGGTGACGAAACAAAAAAACCATACTATAGAATTCAGTTCTTATATTATTATCATACCTTTTACTATTGTAATCTAAAAATAATATAGGATTTTATATGACATGATGCTGTGGACGAAGTGATAATATAGGATTATCATGTATGTTGGTTGTTCTATTCCGGTCTGGATCCCCAGACCACCTCAAATTTGAGTAATAGATCAGCATTTCGTTGTAAAAAAAAAAAAAGAAGTGAGAAAATATGATTTACGTGAATCATATACATTTATGCAGAATAACATCTTTTATTCACTCAAGATGATTTCGCAATATGAAAAGTGCAAAAAAAAAAAAAAAAATGTCTTTCCGAGGATATCTAAACAAATCAAAACGTTTTCTCATATCTTACTTATGCATATACTTTTTTATCATTTTCCTTAATATCGTAGTATTTACCAACTAGAGCCATAAACTGTATGTATAATATAAAGTTATGATCAATTTCTTTATATAGGTTCCTGGGTATATTGCCGCTCAAGTTCTCGGATCAACCTTAGCGATAGAATCTATCCGGCTCATGTTCCAGCTGAACAATGACGGTTGTAGCCTCAAAGGCTCTATTTATGTGGGAAACCACCCGTCAAGTTCAAACACGGCGGCGTTCGTAGTGGAATTCATCGCTACTTTCAACTTGTTGTTTGTTATTTCGGCTGTAGCTACTGATAAACGAGCCAACAGATCATTCGCAGGCGTTGCGATTGGTGCGACCGTAGTACTCGACATCTTGTTCGGCGGGTACTTATATCGAAAACCATTGTAATATATATTACAAAGTAATTATGAATGTTTTAACAAAATTTGCAAAACAAAATGATTGTTAATCGATTAGGCCAATCTCGGGAGCATCAATGAATCCAGCAAGAAGCTTGGCCCCTGCATATATATGGGGATGTTATAAGGATTTATGGGTATACATAGTTGCACCTATTGTCGGAGCATTGGCAGGTGCATGGACTTATAATATGTTACGGTCTACAAATAAATCATATGGTGAGATAATACGTCCAAATTGCAGTAAAGAAGCATCTCAAGACGATTTTTGTGTTCTTCGAGTGGTTGACCCGAATAACCGGAAACTTTTTATACTTTCATCTCCCACCGAAATTAACGATACATGTAATGTCACATGCAAGTTGGCTTAAAACACAGATGTGTTGCAATTGGTCCGTGTGATAGTTGTCTTTTGATTGTGTTTGTGTCTTTTTTTTTGGGCAAATTTTTGTGTGTCTATGTGAGGTTTTCATTGCGTATCAGTATTTGTGTGTATTAAACTATATGTTTGTGTTATATATTTTCTAATGTGTGTGTGGAAATTTTCTTTTTCCAAGAACTCCTGCTTGAGCTAAGAACTGGTTGCTCATATATTTTTTCTTGTTGAGAAGTTACTCAGATTGGGTTTTTGTATGAACATTTATCGTATTTAATTTATAAATTTAAGATGATGTATCCTAATCAACTTATGAATATATCGAAATTGAATACAAAGAAACAGTGAGATTATTAGGAAATTTGGTTGTATTTCACTTTTTGCTTAGATTTCAGTTTTATATATTGTTGTACCAATTCATTCCTGATTGATTAGGTATTTTATTGTAAAATAGTTTGGGAATTGATTTATTAATTTTCCAAAAAATAGTAGAAACATATATTAAATGAGAAAAATAATAATATAAACACCGTGAAAGATACATTGATATTTATTTCTAGGATCGTATAAAATATAAATAATGAAAACTACAGTTGAGAAATCATTGATGTGGATAACTTTGTTTTCGATAACATATATATTTAATATAATTCACAAAGACCAATTGTATTCCACTTCACACAATTGAAAAGTGTTTTTTTTTTTTTTTTTTTTACATCAAACGACTGCTCTATTACTCAAAGAACTTGAGGTGGTCTGGGAGTCCAAACCGGAATAGAACAACCAACGAACACAATCTTACGATAAAAAGACCTAGCTGTCTTAGCTAGAGAATCAGAAACGCCGTTCTGTACTCTAGGAACATAAAAAATCTTAAAATCAGGAAAGCAGGTCTTCAGCCTCTCCAGTTTTTCCAGTTCTGTTGAAAAGGTAGGCCATGCGTGAGGATTCCTGAGCATCTCGATCATCTCCTTACAATCAGTTCCAAAGCTCTGACATGGCGAATGTTGAACCATATTCTCCATTGCCCACCGCAGTGCTTCCAACTCTGAATGCAACGCCGATTCCACTCGATCAAAGTTACACAGCCTCAATAACTTGTTATTTCCGCTATTATCATTCAACACCCATCCACAACCACTGAAAGCATTTGTAGAAGTCCAAGATCCATCCACCATGCATATATTACCCAAGCTTAAGGTCTGGTCTTCTTCTCCTCCGTTCCCAGTGGAGACCGGAATTTCCATCTCATTTGCTTTGAACCATGCTTGGCACTCCGTTAATATCTAAACTTTTTATGATAGTTCCTGTTATATTTCTATTCTTGTAAACCCAACCCTCAGTTTTTTTATACACCAACTATAATAAAATCAGATCATTCTAAATTAGGAAGATGGTGAAGAAGAGGCACAAAAGTGTTTATTTTGTAAAAGAGTCCACCATAACATTGAGGCATTTTGGGATATACAAAAAACTTGCAATAAAAAAAGGAGAATGATAGATATTCTCCCCATTTTAGTTTATTTGTCATTGTAGAGGAAACTTTTTGTTTCAAAAAGTGTCGATTGATGATTCTAAGATAAAATTTATTAATTTTATAAGCTGTTTTATATTAGTTGAAATGGTTTATTGGTATTTTTATAAAGAAAATATGCAAAATAATTTTTTTCTTAATTCAGCACAAACCTAAAATAACAAGTAAAATGAAACGGATGAAATATTCAATATCTTGAATGAGCCCGTATAACTTAGTAGAGAGATCCCTTTTGTTCATGAAAGAGGTTCTAGAACCATGTATCACAAGCCTTTATAGCAACGTGTGGAAGATAAAGGCTCCAAGCAAGATGAAACATTTCTTGTAGCAGGCTATCTCGGGCTGTGTGGCGACGGTAGAGAGAGTACTCACTTATAGACATCTGGGCACATATAGGAGTTGTGCTAGATGTGCCGGCCCAGTGGCGTCGGTTAATAATCTTCTTTTTGAATGCTACCAGCCCTGCAGGTTTGGGCTTTATCGGACTATTCGTCCCTTCCAGGTGACTTCCCGAGTACATTTATATACTAAAACATGAACTTTTTTTTGGGAGAGAAAAGAGCTGGCTCCACTGAGACCATAATTTGATACCTTCACATGGATATGTAGGTACATTTGGAAGGCGAGGAACGACAAAATCTTTAATGGGAAAGTCGTTTCCCCGATTGACACTCTCCAACACACGTCTCTTAAGGTAGAATGTTGGAGGAAGGCTAATGAAAAGGAAGAAACAAACGAGGATCATGAAAATCCTACAGAGGTTAAGACGTGTCCCCTTGGATACCCCGAATTCTCACCTGCCAAATTGATGCGTCGTGGATCGATAATGGTAGGTGTTAGTGGTTTAGGGTGGAATCTTAAGGATCAAATTGGTTCTGAAGTCTTCGGATTACGTGCGTGCAGAAGGAGTCTCTCAGCTTTGCATGCTGAGATGGAAGGTTTACTTTGGTCCGCCTCATGTATGAGAGACATGAGGATAACTTCGATACGGTTTGAGGCAGACTGCTTGGAATTAGTAGACATGACTACAAACCCGGAGGATTGGCTGACTTTCATGACAGAGATCAAAGTGTTCCAGATATTACAAGAGGATTTCGAGGATGTGAGTTTGTTTCATATTCCTCGGAATATGAATGGTCGAGTAGATACACTAGCAAAATAAACAAGGATCATAGGCTATATCTTTTCTCATATAGACTAGATCCGGTCAGACGGAGATGCTTTTCGGAGAATCGACTCGTCTGATCACCACTTGATCTAATTTAGATGGGAGGTTGGCAAAAAAAAAATTAGTAGAGAGATGTACACTGAGAAATTACTCTCTGGCTCTCTTCTCGAGGTTGGATCCAGAACTAATTTTTGAGTTCCAAATTTTGAATTTATCTCCATGAACTATTTCCGGTGGTCAGTTTTGTTAGAATCCTCCAACTTTGGAGCCATCGTTTCAAATTTTCTCTCCCCATCATGCCAATCTCAACCGTTTGAGATCTTTTCAAACAGAGACTCCATCATTTCAGTCCCAAGTATATTTTTACAACACCGAAGATGCATCTAGTCCATCGGAGAGCTCCTGCCTTGCATCGTCTCCCCCTGATATAGGGCGTTGTGACAATGGTGCAAGTGCCACCAGTCTTTAATTTCTAGCCTAGTGCTAAGATTGTCGTTTTAAATCTACCTTCTAATTTTTTTGATTTGATTCCTTGCTGTGATGACATAAAGAATTATTCTTCTGGCTTTTACAAAACGACTGTGACAGTGAGGAGTGTCCGATTAAGTTACCAAGCCTCTCTTTGTTAGTATTTCTCGCTGGTGAGCCTTCCGGTAAGAAAGCTTTTGTTTTTGCAGACGCTGGTTTCCATCATAGCTACCTTCTAATTTTTTTGATTTGATTCCTTGCTGTGATGACATAAAGAATTATTCTTCTGGGTTTTACAACGACTGTGACAGTGAGGAGTGTCCGATTAAGTTACCAAGCCTCTCTTTGTTAGTATTTCCCGCTGGTGAGCCTTCCGGTAAGAAAGCTTTTGTTTTTTCAGACGCTGGTTAACATCATAGCTGCCTTGTTGAAGGAAAATCAAATCTGGATCAGTGTATCTTGGTTCTTGATATACCATGATTTTGACCCGTTTTTAGCCATGGTATTGATATGTTTTTATAAGTCTTATATATGTTTTGGAGTCTATTAGGTATGTTTTCAGGTTCAGGAGCATTTTGGAGTAAAGTGATGATTTAGGTGCCCTTTTGGAGCTTAAAGGAGAGTTTTCCGAGATGACTATGAAGATCAGACAACAAGGATACATATCAATCGATACACACCCTGTGTCAACGATCGATGACGCTTCCATAAAAGATGAAGTCGAGATACTCCATCGATCGATGTACACCATGTACCATCGATCGACATGAAGAGTGGAGAACAAGTCCGACTTGGCCGACTTGAAGCCCAAGTTTTCCCAATATTACAATAATGCCCCTGATGAGTTTTTAACCTAATGGAACTCATATTTATAGCCTTGCCTATGTATTTTGTCTAGACATGCTTTTATTGTTCTAGTTCTTTTTGTACTTCAAAAGCTTTACATGCTTTCTTGTGCTTTTACGTTTTGAATGCTTTTGAATTCTTTTGTTCTATTATATACTTAGCAATAAAGTATTCTTTTCATCTTAATTCGCAAAGGTCATAGAATTCTAGATTTAGAAGAAACACACAAAGAGATTTGTTGTTCCAAGAACCAAAAGTTCAATCTTCTAATCTAATGAATTTCTATTATTACCATGCTGTTATGAATCTCTTAGCTATGTCTGAGTAGATTCCTTTGTTAGATTTAGGGTTCAAATAGTTATGAGGAATTAGCCCCAACTATGGAATGTTGAATTGTTGATATTCATTATCCAAATGAACCCTAATGCTTACTCTAGAGTAGCTACCTAGAGTATGATCATGGATGTGATTTAACTTGTTAATCATCGTCCTGAAATCATTTGGCATAAGCTTAGATCCTCTAGGGATGTTTGAGAGCCGGTCTATGATCTTAGTGAACAAAGTTTTTGATCTTATGCTATATCGATCGATACTCCTATAGAGTTATCGATCGACGGTAACCTATGTCGTCCGATATCGCTGTCAAAACATCGGTCGATATGGCCGGCAATAAGATCAATGGATGAGTCTATTTAGCGATTGTTATTAGATTTGTCTAAGAATCGAAGTTCTTATATATCTTGCAAGCAATTCAATAAAACATCTGTAGCATTATAATCCTGATTATCTGAATATCAACCTTGAATCTAACTACTTTCTTTTATTGTCTTAAACCAAAACCTATTCTCTTAAGCAACTTACCATTGCTCACAAACTGCAATTTACTATTTTAAACTTAATCAACCTAGCATAATCACTTAGGATTACATCTATTGTGTTCCTTAGTTCCATGTGGATTCGATCCCTAAGTACTACAACT